CTTAAGTCTGACTGTTACTTGGGACCGATGTGGCACTTCCCATGTTCATTAATAGCGTTCTCCTTTGCCCTCTGCCCTGTCACTTGCCATCTCCGGCAGGGGTGGATCCCTGACACACAGATACTGGGACTCCCACTTGAGCCTCGGCGAGAAGAAGAAAGTTTATTAAATATAAATTTATAACACGCACATGTGGCCCCTTCATGTCATACGGGAAACAAACAGAAATCAAGTTTCCAAAGGAAAGCCCTAGGCTTCGAAGGAAGCTCTGGAGTGGAGGAGCTTGCTCTCTGTCTGCCATAACTTGAATAAATATGCAAACATTTCGTCACATTCCGCCTACACTCACTTTTAATTTAAGCCCACTTAACACCTCATAAAACAAGCTACGTTCTGGCTGAATAAATAAATGACTGAATGAAGGAACGAATGGCTGACTGAATGACTGAATGGCTGAGTGAGAAGGAGCGAGGGAAAATGTGTGACTGACAGTTGGAGAGCTCTGTCTCTGTTTTATATAGAATACAATTTTATACATTTTAATTTTTACATTTAACAACTTTCGTGCAATTAGGTCGAAAGGGTTGGCACTCTCTCACCCTTCCTAGTCCTCCAAAAAGCCACCCTCTCCCTCTGTCTCTTCTTGGGGGTTGTGTCTCTGCTAGGGTCTGGCCTGGCTGTTGGTTGATTGCTACTTTTGGCAAATTAAACTTGAAAGTTGTAAAATTTCCCTTGTCATTGGAAAGGACACGTGCGTGTCAATCTCCCTTCACTCTGTCCCTTCAACCCTTGTTTCGGTTTTCTCAAATGATTCCGGACAAGAGTTGATGTTTAGAGAGGCACATTGAGAGGAGCTCATAGCTTAATTGAAATGAAACCGGGAATGCCAGCTTCGAAGACTGCCAGAGGTGCTTTGTCAAGTGATTCTTCTCCGGTATTGCGATGTCATTGATTTTTTCTGCTTCGTGGGCCGAAATTACCTCAACAGAACTGAGTGCTCCTATGTGACTGATCTCAGGCTTCATTCACAGCCCATAACAATCGCTGTTTATGCTGATTTTTATGCCCCCTCAAGGCACACACTTGCCGCCAGGTCTGGCTATGAATAAGCAAGTAAGCGGTAGGGGCTTCCCCACATTCAAATGCTGTCCTGTCCTGTGTTGTCCTGTCCTGCAGTGCTTTCTGTGCCTGCTGCCGACTGCTTATTTGCCATGTAATCTTAAGCGACAGGCATTTGCTTACTTATTTATGCACTCTCTCCGCCAAACACATACTCGTGCCCGTACTCGCACTCATCCTCGTACTTCCCATAAAGGTTGCCAACTTAAAAATCACAATGGGGCTTTGACTCTGCCATTAGATTAGAGAGAGAGAGAGAGAGAGAGAGAGAGTGAGAGCGTTTGGGAAATCCCACTTTGGGGGTATCTTTTGCTTTATTTTTATGCTCTTCGTGTGAGATTTTTATTGTGTGTACACACACTCACAAGCACCGAGTGGGAAGAGGGAATAACGAACAAACTGAGTCTGACAGGGAGACATAGAGACACAGAGACACAGAGACACCAAGACAGTCGCTATCCGTGGCAGCTATCTTTGCCACGTTTGCTTTTATTATTTAATGGAGCACAAAATGCATTTTGCTCGCCTGCTCCCTGATCCAAACCTCTCCTGTTTAGGAGTGCGGTTTTGGAAGCCCTTCCCAAAGGCCGCATCTGGGGGATGGACGCGGCTCGTTCCCGTCCCGGATCAGACGCAGGCATACAAAATTAATAATTTATATATGAAAATGTGCGTTAAGAGCAGCAAAAATGCTTCGAGTGAAGCAGCGTTCACTAGAGAGTCTGTTTACCAAATTGCTTAGCAGAAATGTAAATGTGTGTGTGCGTGTGTTTTGGAGGCTGTTTTGCCAAGGTCATAAGTAGGACTTGCCGAGATTCTTTTCCTGCCTCGTTCCATTTCCTCTGCAGACGACTCTTTTTTTCCGGCATCGTTCATCGTAATTTGCTTAATAAAACGCGGTGTGTGGCATATTGCATAAAATATAAGCCGAATTTCCCTTTTGTTTTTCTTTGGCTTTTGCTTTTTGAGGCAATTTATAAATTGCCAAGCAGATTCATTCCTCGAGCATCTTTGGCTGTCGCTTTTCATTAAAATCAACTTCAGTGAATGCCAGAGAATGTTGCACTTGGGGCAGTATCTTAGGAGTCGACTGGAGGGTCTGTTATGTGCATAAATTTCCCCAGACCAGACTCCTGGGAGATGCTGGCTGGGAGTATTTTTATGTCCAATTTATGCATATGAATGTATATGGCAGTTTCAACGAGCGATATGGAGTGCGCACACCTTTTGTCGGTCAATCATGCCTCTTGCTACCCTTTTGGTACATTTGAAGGTAATTTCTAGGTCTCCATTTGTGTCCGAGCCATCCACATCCGGCGAAAGTCAATTGAAGTTGTAATGAGAATTGAAATGGCTAGCAATTAAAGATGATGATGGCGCCGTCTCACCTCACTCCGAACCCATTCCCTTTCCTGATTTCTGGCCATCTCTTTCTGCTCGGCACCGTTCTCCTTTCCGCTCCTGCCTCTGTCGGTCCCTTCATGGTTTGGTCCTCCCTTTTCCAGTAGGTTTACGTATGCCGCAGGCCCAAACACTTTGCATAACATTAAGCAGCTTCAGTTCTCTTTAGTTCTGTTTTTTTTGTTTTTTGTTGTTTGTATTCCGATTTGGCATCACAGCGATGCTCTACTGTTCTTCTTTTTTGCGGTTCTCTGTGGTCGACCGCAGCTCCATAAAATATGCACCCAGAGCGGAGTGGTGCGGTGTGCTTCACAACAAAGTGAAGTATGCAAAATGGGAGATGGTAGATGGAAGAGATGGGGAGAAATGAGGGAGTGTAAAAGCGCCTAAAAGCATATTTCAATTAAGCTATCACCTTGAATTATTCTCACGAGCACACAAACAGTCGCATACACATGTACACACAGCTCCAGTTCCAGATACACACCCTGAGAGTTCCGCCTAAAAGCAGTCTACGCTTTTTATTTTTTAATTTTAATGTTTTCATTCACCGCCAGCAGACGAGCGGCAGGACCGGCTGCGGGAGCAGCAGTGCCAGCAGCATAAGAAGAAGAACGTTAAAACCGCTCGTCAAAAATTTGCATTTAAATGAGGCGCAGAGGCGACTGACTGACGGGCCTCGTTTTCCCTGCCGCCACCACGCCACATTCTTGGAAGTGGAAATTTTTATGATTGCGGTGACTGCCAAATTGTCAGTGGATAACTGTGTGTGTGTGGGTGTACGCCGTTGAAAGCTGCAAGGATGTGCGTGTGTGTGTGTGTGTGTGTGTGTATGAATATTATGTAAATATTCATTATGTCCCCCGTGTGTGTATGTGTGGGTGTGGGTGTGGGTGGTGGGGGGTGGGGAATCCATGCGGCTCTGGGTGAGTGCACTCACCACTCGAGTCGTTGAGGGGTCAGTGAATACAGAAAAGTCATCCAAAACCGTCGCATCGGGACTACCAAAGGTAATCCTTTCGATATGTGTTCAGGACTCAGTACTAGTCAAATCGGAGATAAACGTTTTCGCTCAGGCAGGATACACTGCACGCTGGGGCATTTTACCACTTTTTGTTGCAAAAACTAATAACTTCCAAACGAAACAATATTTTTTGATACGAGTGTATAATGGTGAAAGAAAGGTGTGTTGAAAAAATGGGCGTGGCACCAACTTTTCTTCAGTGTAAAATCGAATTTTTATTTTATTTTCAAATATAACAAAAAATTATGGGAATATGTAAAGCAATGCCATATTACATAAAAAAGGCTTGCACGGTTTTTTTTTTAATTTAAAAACTTCTTTGAAGTTATAATTGTACGATTGTATACGAATTTAGCCAATCTGCACAGAAAAAAATTCTTGTTCACTTGTTCAAATCAAACAGCTGATTTTAACGGCTGTTATCTTAACAGTGGTGCGCACTGTTAATATTTTGGGTATGTTGCATTAAAAACTGTTGTTATTTTTATGTAAATGACGAAAATGAGTTTCGGCCAGAGAAGTGGTCAAATGACCAGTGCACGTCTAATCGTATCCCAATCCGTTTAAAAAGTGTCCCTTAAATTGGGTAAAAACTTTATTATTTACAAGCAGATTTCTTGAACGGCTTAAAGTCGGTTCGAAAAATCACAATTAAGGGGCAATTTCGTTCACAGAGAATACGCACCAGACACAGAAACAGGAACAGGAACGGGCACAGGGCGTGCCACGATGAGCAGGAGCGTTCGCTTCCCTGTTTGTTGGTTATGCAAAAATTTCTCAGCTCCACACACACACACACACACCAATACAGCCACACACCCATGCATGGAACTGGAGCTGGGGTTCATTCATCTTCATCCTTCATCCTGGGCTTTCTCTCTCTCCTCTCAAGCTTTGGCCAAAAATTTTTGGCATAAATGGCATAAACAGTTTATTTAGCAACGGAAAATTAACTGCAGAATGTTTCCAGACCCGTTCCAGTTGCCCAGGAAAAAAAGGATAAACTGCGAGAGGAAGTGGCAGACAGCCGGGGGACTGATGATGCTACGCAAGTCAACCCATATACTCGTATGTGGCAGCCATCCCAGTCCAGACCAAACTCCACTCGACGCTTTATGACGTTTTACTTCATGTGCAGCTTCATAATTAAGTGACTCCCAAAGGTGGCGGAGAGGGAAGAGACACACAAAAACTAGCAGAGGGAGGAGACACACTCAGGGGAGCTTTTAGTTTCGAGCCACGTGAGTAGCATCATCGCTTGGGCCTCGGGCCATTAAAACAAGCCCCAAACGAGGTCAACTGAGGGCACTAAAATGCATTTGTTTATATTCCTTACAATATACCGTACGAGTAGGGTCTGCAGGATGATGGGTATGGAGACGAGTGACGATACAGGGGGATTTATACAGCTAGAGACGAATATAAAGAGTGTTAGCAGGTCGTTTTTTGTACTTACTAATTTGATGGCTGGTGGTATTAATGGATGATGGCAACTTACCTGGAAAGACAGATAAGGGAGAACACGAAAAGTTTAATATTATGTGTGGCAGCGTGCGGGCGGGAGAAGGACATTAAGGGAAATGCACGGGGATAATTGTCTAAAACTATAATTATGTCATAAGAAGAGGGGTGAGTGGGAAAACAGTAAAATATAATCCAGCTGGGACACAAGTTGTAATTAGATCTGTAGAAAGGTTAAGCATTTAGCATTGTTTCCTAGAAGCTTAAAGACTTCTTTCTCTCTCGCTTAAATAGTGTATGGATGACAATCTCTAGTCTGCTGGAAAAATTGATTGTCGTCAACACTTTAACACGCCCAAACCCAAGCACATGGCCCAAAGTTTGCCGAGGGCAAAACCAAAGAAAAAAAAATGTCATAAAAATTCTATTTTCGTATAAAATTTCGAAAGTAATCTAATAAATATTGATTTTCATTCGTCATCGCCACGACAGCGATGGCTATGGCTACGACGATGGTTATGGCGATGGCGACAACAACATCATCATCGTCATCATCATGAGCACCCACAGGGGCCACAGGGGCAGGCGTGGAAAAGAGTCGTGTAACCCTACATGTGCTCACAGAGAGCGAGTCCAGGAGAGGACATTACAGGACACGACAGGAACCAGGAGCCAGGAGAGGACAGGCGTAGTCAATAGTCGTTATTTGATATAGTCGCCCGACCAACATGATGAAACGTGCCTGGGACCGCCAACGCCGACGCTGACCAGGACACGGACACGGACCAGGAGCAGGAGCAGGAGCTGACCGCACGTATAGGGAACCGAATGGGATGGAACCCATCGCTGCAAGGGATGAAATCATTCGCGCAACTCGATTTTGGTCAAGCATGCCAACCCACATGGACAGCGGGCAGGGCTGTGGGGCAAACAGTTCATTCAATCATTCAAATGTCCTTTGAACTATAAAAATACATGACACTAATAAAGAAAGCGAACAAATGACACGACACTGGAAACGCTCGCTCGCTCTGTCTCTGTCTCTCTCATGTTATACTTCTCTCTTCTTGAAGAAAAGTGAATAGGAAGAAGACTGCCGAAAAAGTACTATTTAGAGCAATTTATAAGCATACTTCGAGTCACCCTCGCCCACGTTCCCTGGCGCACGACATTTACGAGAGAGTCCAGCACTGAGGAGGAGAGGATGGGACCCCTTTTACTTTTCCCAGAACCATAAATTTTTGTGTAGCTATTTATTGCATTTTTATGTAAAATGCCGCTAACGGTAAACCTATATTCGTACGTTCGAAAGTCTTTGGCATCCCTTTTATACCTTTTTGGAAAGTTGTTTATGAGGCAACGAGAAATCGAATTTGGGGAAACGCTCGATGCCCACGCGAAATGACAAAAATTTAAGCAATTAAAGGTGCGCCAGAGAGCAGAGAAATTAAGAGATGGCGGATAGGGATAGACTCCCTGAATCGCTGATTTTTACAAGCATTTTCCATGCACTCACAACAACATTGGATTGCATACTTTTCGTGGCTTTGCAATGATTTATCTAACATCTACCACGTCTGCACCACATTTTTATGGCCTTATGCTCAGGTCCTCCACTTCCTTGCTTCCCGTTTTTCCTTCTATCCCATTCCACAAAGCAATCGGAAAAACCACAACAACTGCCAGGGCAGGGCCGGACTGGTCCGCGTCGGGTTCCAGGTTCAGGAATACGAACGAGCACACAAATCAAAACAACGCACAGCGCCTAAAAAGCAGCTAAGGCCAATACGAGGTCCTGGAGAGAGAGAAAGGGACTCGTTCCGGGTATGGGAATGGGAATGGAGATGGGCAGTAAACTACATGAAGGCTTTCTTCTCTGCGTCTATGGCCATGTAATCTCTGTTGACCATAAAGATTTATAGACTATTGTGTGTCGTTCACGTTGCCGACGTCGTCGCGGCAGCCACAGCAATGAAAAGGAAACTTTTTGCAACTTAGCGCCAAACTTTATGCAATAATTTATATATATTGGGCGCGCGAGCCCTGTGCCCATATAAAATGGCAAGGTACGGGAAAAACAAAACCAAAATGGGGGGCAAAAAACCGAGAAAAAATATCAGCGGAAAAACGCAATGCCGACGACCTACACAAAAGGCAACACTGGGCATAATGGTTGCAACAACAAATGGGCAGAGACGGGGAACAGAGAGCAGCAGCCGCATCAACCGAAATTGGCGAGAAGGTAACGCGTGTAACTATAAGGTCGGGGAGAGGGTGCCTAGCACCTTTCAGGAATAAAAAGAATTTAGAATTAAAGTTGGTTTGTATGCACGTCGAAGCTATCATACTCTATAATCTAGATAGAGTAAGTCTTTATTATCAAGTCAGCGTAGAATTAGACATTCTGAATTCAGCAGAATTCAGTCAAAAAAAATAACAACTTTTTAATAATGTAAGGGTGTTTTGGATTGTTCTTTAATTGACAATAGTTATGAGCTACCCTCACACTTGATTTAAATAATATAATTTAATTATATTTTTTAATATTTAATATATTTTAATATTTTTTAAATATTTCGTGTATATTCTGATATTCGGAGACCAATTAAATTGTCTTCTAGATCCGGTTTCTGTTCTAGCCAAGCTGTTAAAGTTCGCTTTGTTTTTCGTATCTGAGGAAGTATTAAAGTATCTGCTCAGAGTTTATTGGAGTTATAGTCTTCCAAAATCTGCAACCTAATATGGAGTACCCTCAAAATCTACCTAGCGTATCCAGAAATGTTACATGAACGGTGTCCTGGTTCGGCGTTGTCGCTTCGATACACAGCTTAGGTTTAAGAGAGGTAGAGAGGAGGCTGGACCGGTGTGGCAGAGACAAGAGGCAGCACGCGAGAGCGCGCCAAGTGTAAAAAAGAAAAACTTTTCAATGAGTTTTTCCCGTCGGCGGCGGCGTCGTCGACTTCGCCGTTGTCGGTTATGAGCGTGCCCCTCCCGATTCTTCCTCTGGCGGTCTATTGTTGTTTGTGTTTTAAATAGACTCAAGTGTTGTTGTTGTTGTCCTTGCTGCTGCTGCTGCACAAGGAACTGCCGGTTGCAGTCATTGTCTGAAGTGCGTTCGCTACACTCGCCCCATTGTGGACGTACTGTGGGGCGGCAGGAAAGGATGAAGGATGCTGCTCGGGACTCGAAATCAATCGATAGTTAATGGAAAATCGTTATTAATGAAAAGTTTACACCCAGCAGAATACCCCCTCTGACCCTGCCAGTTCCCACACCCCGTTTTGGAAGCCAGCAATTGAGCGCTCACTGAGCCATGGCAAAATGCTTGATAAAGTGCAGAAGGCAATAAAAAACGAAGAGAGGAAGACGAGCGTGAGACCAGAAAGAGAATGCTACATTTAAGTAGCAAAGTTTTGCTCTCTTTTTTTTGTCGTAATTTCATTTGAGTGTGAAAAGTTGCACGCACATGGGGCAGGAAGGCAAGCGGTAAAGCAGACGTACTGTGACGTAGTAGGAAATGGCGGGAATAAAGGCAAACCCTTCGCCCTGCCACGTTTTTTTTGTTGCTGCATATTTTCCAGCGCATAAATATTTTATGCATGCAACAAAAGCAGTCAAAACACAATGGCCAAAAAAAAGAGACGAAAAGGGAAGGTAGCAAAGTTTTTCTGTCTGTTTGTGAAGCATTTGCACCTCTAACAAAGTTGGGAATATTTTTTACAATACGGCTGCGAGTGCGATTGCGAGTACGAACATTTTTTCTGATTGAGGAGAAGAACCCACAAAAGTTTTGCCTTCTTTTGGCACTTTGGTTCCTTCCTCAATAGTTTAATGGCAGTTTAAGTAGTTTGACAGCCAGCCTAGAGCTGAAATTGATTTGGGCCCAACCTATTCCGGCTAAGTCGCCGAAAAGGCTCGCTGGAATCTCTATCGGTCCTGCGTGATCCATGTTCCGCTTGGAATGGTTTTGTAATCACATCAGGCAGGGAGGAAGATGGCGAAAGAGGAAGGACAAGGCGTTGCACAATTTTTTGGGGGCTGATTTATTGCAACAACAAAGTTTTATCATGCATATTTTATGCGTGTAAATGTTGCCGTCATAAAAGCAAGAGTCCTGCCACGCACATACATACACACATGAGAGTGCGTGTTCCTGCCTCTTCCAGTGGGTGGGTTGGGGCAGGAGGTCTGGTCTGGAAATGGATTCCCTTTTTTATGCGTACGAGTTGTAATGGCGGCCAATAAAGCAGCCATTCAATGGCAGCAAATTGGCATTTTATTAGTGAACCCATTGCCGGCACTCTCTCTCCACTCCCTATACCCTTTCTGCACGGCACTAATTTGGCTCGGGTGGGGCTCGACGTACTTTGGCGCGTATGTCATAATAAAAATGAGTGTTGAAAACTTTTAACAAACGACAAAATACCAGTCACAGGAGGTCCTTTTCCTACTGCATCGATCGATAGACTCTTTTGCTCTTCTCTCTCCCATTTTGGGGCGAAAGGATGTCCTCCCCAGTTGCGCTTTGAGGTCGTCGCCGTCGCCGCCGTTGCCGCCGTTTCAGGCAGGGCATAACTCAAAGTTTACTCAAGTTACTTGCGCCAGCGACAAGACAGAAAACTTTGTACTTTACATCATTAAAAAGTTTCGCTTTTCCCTTTTTTTTCAGCGCTCTCTCTCCTTCTCTCTCTGTCTCTATGTGTTGCCTTTCTCTTCAACTTTCTTTCCATTGACTGACTCCGACTCTGATTGTGATTCTGGCTCTGACTAGGAAGCTTAGCAATTGACAGTTAGCCATCAATCCACTGGGAGATGACGGGGGTTGAGGATTGCTTAATTTGTGCGTTTCACAGGAGACTCCCATGACCGCAGGCCAGGCGACAAAAGATGAAAGGACTTCGTCTTCCACTGATTGCATGGCATCCATCAGCCTGGGAGGATCACAGAATGTTGCATAGATTTAGGCGTGAACAGAAATGCCCGCAATAAACGAGCGCGTAATGCCACGTGTTTCCTTCTTGGCCCCCTCTACAACAA